AGGCGGAGGCGGAGGCGGCGGCGTCGATAGAGATGGGAGATATGAAATGGAATGAATTAGGTTTTAGTTGGGTTTTATATTTAAATAAAGTTGGTGGGGTAGGTAGTAGGGTGGGTATATATTTAATTTAATTTAAAAATATTATTATTGATATTAATTGTGAAATTAAAACCTGATTTTTGATTAAATAAAGTAAAAACCTGATTTTTTAAAAGTCAAAATTAAATAGTTGGTTTAGTGTAATTTTCACATAATTAATTGTACATAATGATGTCAACATCCTCACAAAGAGGGGTACGTGTAGTCTGTAGACAAACTCGGTCTTTAGTGAAGTATAGAAGGAGGGCGCATTGACCGACAGTATTTTTAACAAAGGAATATAAGAGCGGAGTAGAATGAATAGAAGATAATAAGCCTTCGACAGAAAAATAGATATATAAGGTATTTGACAAATACTATTTGGGTTTCTTCCTTAAGTTATCGAGAATCAACAAGCCAATAAAAGATATGTGATCGATTGTGACTAATTTGGTGACAATCATTTGATTATAATACTTTGTGCAGAATCTCGCAAGCAATCATGCGGCAAAAAGTTTCAATGAAAGCGACACCAATAATTTAGTAATAAACCATAACTTTTCACTATATATTAAAAGTGGCTAAGCAAATCTTACACGTGTCGCGATTTTCGTCGTCGCCAAAAATCCCTCTTTTAAAAAAAAAGTTAAAAAAAATCATGAAATTAGTCAATTTTTCAGCGTCCTCCTTCTCCACTTCTCCATTATATCACATAATCATCCATTCTTCATCACCCACTCCTCCTCTCCATACCGTTCCCATCATTCATCAATCCACCACGCTTCCTTCTTTCACTTCCTTCACTCGCGCCTATTTTCTTTTCCATTTTCACGCCAACTAAAACAATTTATCTTGTGTTGCTGTGATTTCAACAGCAAAATTTACATTCTGTTGAGAAGAAGAAGAAATGGGCGTCGTTCCAGAAGAAGCCATTAATCAATTTAAAGCATTAATGAAGGAAGGTATGCTCTTATTGATGTTTATTTTACAAACCATTTTCTTAATTTCTCTGATTTTCTTTAGGAAATTTATTTAGTCGATGAGCCACTCAAGAGAAGTTTTCGGTTTGCATTATTGTCTCTT